CATTCCCCGCCTCCTGAGTTCAAGCAATTCTCATGCCCCAGCCTCCTGAGTAGCTGGGACTACAGGTGTGCATCACCGTGCTTGGCTAATATTTGTATTTTTAGTAGAGACAGAGTTTCTCGATGTTGGTCAGGCTAGTCTGGAACTCCTGGCCTCAGGCGATCTGCCTGCCTTAGCCTCCCAGAGTGCTGGGATTATAGGCTTGAGCCACCACACCTGGCCTTGAATTATTAATATATATTCTGTGCAAGAATCTTCTCTCATGGAGACAGTACTGACCAGTTATAAACACAAATTGAGTCGTTAATAGCCAGATTCAGAATGAAGTGCAAGCTGATAGGATTCAGTCCTGAACAGTTCCCACAAAGACTGAGCCTCCAGAGAGGTAAGATCTCTTTGTTTTTGGTGGTCATTCTGTTTGACCCTGTTAAAATCAGGAAACAATTGAGTCTTTCTGCCTTCCCGTCTTTGGTAGAACTACCTTATATTCTTGAATATTTCATTCACTTGTTTACTTTGTAAAGCATAAGAAATAAAATTTGGACAGGGCTGCAGAGCTCTCTTTGGCATGTGGCCTGCCTGCCCAAAGAAAGCTGTAACAACAAGAATGATAGATATTTTAAAAATAACCTTGCCCAGCTATTTTCAGAAAGTTTCAGGAGCCCTGCCTACCAAGATTCATTGATTTTATAATTTGTTTTAGTTAAACAATAAATTTTCTGATGTTCTTTGCTAAGAAAAATTTTATCCTCGTGCTAGTGATTTACTGCTTTAAAATTAGCTTAATTTATGTATTGAATAAATATATTTTTTGAATAAGCCTCATGTAATAGGCACTGCTCTAGACTTGGGGAATAGAAACAACCAACGTAGATAAAATCCCTACGTCATGGAGCTTGCAATCTACTGAAATAACTTTCTTAGGAAACATTAAAGTTTCTTAAGTGGCATTTGATAATTTTCATATGACAAACTCCTCTTAAAGGAATACTTATTTATCTTTGGGCCTCATTTGTTAAGTGAAGAAGGTGAACTAGATGATCTCTAAGGTTCTTTTCCATTCAGAACTTGTATGTTTTTTATTTTTATTTTTTCTAGAGATAGGAGTCTCACTCTGTTGCCCAGGCTGGAATGCAGTGGTGTGATCATGGCTCAATGCAACCTCTACCTGCTGAGCTCCAGGGACATTCCTGCCTCAGCCTCCCCAGTAGCTGGACTGCAGATGCACTCTACCATACCCAGACTATTTTTTTTTTTTTAAGTAGAGAAAAGGTCTTGCAGTATTCTGTATTGAACAGGCTAGTCTTGAACTCCTGGCCTTGAAGGGTCCTCTAGCCTTGGCCTCCCGGAGTGCTAGAATTATAGACATGAGCCATTGTGCCTGGCCCCATAACGTTTTAGAAGTTGGAGCCTGGTTTGCAATTAGAACCTTAGGCAGTTCCACCCACCCTTAGTGGATCAGTATATTATAAAAAGTGTTATAGGCCAGGTACAGTGGCTCACGCCTGTAATCCAGCACTTTGGGAAGCTGAGGCGGGCAGATCACGAGGTCAAGAGATCGAGACCATCCTGGCCAATATGGTAAAACCCCGTCTCTACTAGAAATACAAAAATTAACTGGGCATGGTGGTGTGCACCTGTAGTCCCAGCTAGTTGGGAGGCTGAAGCAGGAGAATCGCTTGAGGCGAAGGTTGCAGTGAGCCAAGATTGAGCCACTGCACTCCAGCCTGGTGACAGAGTGAGATTCCGTCTCAAAAAAAAAAGTGTTATAAAGAGACATTTGCCAAGATAGTGATATGAATAGGTAATAAAGAGTATCAAATGCTGCAGGGAAGTCAAATGAGTTAAGGACAAAGTTCAAGGACTGTTCTTAGTTATTAAGAAGACATTGGCCGGGCACGGTGGCTCACACCTGTAATCCCAGCACTTTGGGAGGTCGAGGTGGGAGGATCACCTGAGGTCAGGAGTTCGAGACCAGCCTGGCCAACTAGTGAAACCCCGTCTCTACTAAAAGGACAAAAATTAGCCAGGCATGGTAGTGGGTGCCTGTAGTCCCAGCTACTCTGGAGGCTGAGGTGGGAGAATCACTGGAACCTGGGAGGTGGAGGTTGCAGTGAGCTGAGATTGTACCACTGCACTCAAGCCTAGGCAACAGAGCGACACTCTCAAAAAAGAAGAAGACATTAATAATCACAATAGAAACAGTTTTAATAGAGTCATAGATTAGACCGTGATCCCTTTGGGTTAAGGATTGAATTATTATAGGCATTGCCTATTCCTGTGAGACCCTTTGGTCATTAGGCAGTGTTAAAGCTGGAAGATATGAGAGCTTAAGAGCGAATCAAGACTTACTTTTCTGTACTTGTTTCTGGATGTGTGTTTTTCTGTTTTAGGTTGTTACTTGACACAATTTGTCTGGCATCTATATTGATAAATCAATCAGATATGAATGATCAAGTACTGTGTGATGCAGTTGGAACAGATAATCAGCATAACTAATGAAATATTTAATATTGCTTAATTATCACTTCAGAAAAAGATTTCTTGCCTAGCAGATAGAAGGAAGTGCTATATTTTTTTTCTTCTTTTTTTTTTTTTTTAAGGATGGAATCTCACACTGTTGCTCAGGCTGGAGTGCAGTGGCGAGGTCTTAGCTCACTGCAACTTCCACCTTCCAGGTTCAAGCGATTCTCCTACTTCAGCCTTCCCGAGTAGCTGGGATTACAGGCACCTGCCACCACACATGACTAATTTTTGTATTTTTAGTAAAGATGGGGTTTCACCATGTTGGCCAGGCTAGTCTCAAACTCCTGACCTCGTGATCCACCCACCTCAGCCTCCCAAAGTGCTGAGATTACAGACATGAGCCGCCACACCTGGCCAAGAAGTGCTGTATTTTTGTGAAGAGTAAAGTAATATATGCTTTTACTTTTTTTTTTTTTTTGTGAGAGAGAGAGCTTCGCTCTTATTGTCCAGGCTGGAGTGCAATGGCACGATCTTGGCTCACTGCAACCTCTACCTCCTGGGTTCAAATGATTCTCCTGCCTTAGCCTCCCGAATACCTGGGATTACAGGCGCCTGCCACCACACCTGGCTAATTTTTGTCTTTTTAGTAAAGATGGGCTTTTACCATGTTGGCCAGGGCGGTCTCAAGCTCCTGACATCAGGTGATCCTCCCACCTCGGCCTTCGAAAGTGCTGGGATTATAGGTGTGAGTCACTGCACCCGGCCCTTGTATGCTTTTACTGACAGAAATTATTTCTTTCAAGAAATGGGAATTTGGCTAATTTACCTCTTAAAGGAAATACTAATGCTTCTTTATCTAAATGAGCAAGATAGTAAGTGAACTGGTAATTGTACTTACATTAGTTGTTCTAATGTTTAGAATCTCCTGGAAAACTTAAGATACAAGTTTACCATATATTAGGGTTTCAAACTAATATATGTTGTGTTTTATGAAGAAAAGAACTACATAATGTAAAGCAGAATTTTTTTAACAAGAGGTTCTTGTATGGGATCTTTAATGAGTCCATATACTCCCTTGAAATTGTATGGAACAGGTTGTGTATGTGTGCATTTTTCTGAGGAGTGGATCCATGACTCAGAAAGGTTAAGAACATCTGCCCTGCAAAGGAAAAGCAAAAGATTTAAGAATAAAAACGTTTTGTACTTGCCAAAACTTGCTCTGTAGCATTAAGTGTGAAACGAGTTTGCTACATTTTTCTTTCGTGGTTTTACTTTGTTGGGGTGTTTTTGTTTGGTTGGTTTTAAAGGATTTAGGGGATTGGCAAGTCAATTTGTCAGATATCAATGAACAGAAAACCTAAGAAAAAATGTAGCAAAAGTTCTGCTAGCCCCACATGGATTTTGCCTTAGGTAATTTCCTAATCCTTAGCTACAGCTCTGTGTCAGAAGATGTATTTAGAAATTTATACTAGATTCTTAACCCCTTTTTTACTGTGTGCAGAAATTCTTTTTATGTATGCTATGTAAGGTATTTTCTTTCTTACTTTTATGCTCACAGTAACAAAATATAGCTAAAGAAATTAAAGATTTTCTTAAAGATATTAAATGGTGTTGTTTTGTTGCCTCAATTAACTAAGAGCAACTGTTTTTAACAGTTACAATGGCAGTAACTTTAAAGGAATAAGAAAGATCTATTTCACAAAGACCTTTGTTGCTTCACAATACACATCTCCTTTAGTCTGAGGTATCATTTTAAACAATTTTATAAGAAAATCAGTCACTGGAAATTTACTCCCAGTATAATTTCCTCATCTCTTGTGGAGCACAATATGTGATTTTTAAGGCCTTGTTTGTGAATAAGTGTGTTCTTTAATCATTTGAGTAAAAGGAATCTTAAATTTATCATGTGTACTTGGCAGTGGATTAAGATGACCGTGTAATCCATTTCTAGTGTGGCCAGTTTGACAACTACATTTGAAAATCTGTTTCACTGCCTGTTTTTTCTTGTAACATTGTTTCCTGCTATTATAACTAAGCTGTCCTCCCTGCAGATTGACTTTATTTTTCATCTGACATCTTAGACTGATCAAGCCATTGTTTTCTAAACAACACATTTATGTAGCTGTTATGCCTTATTTCTGTTCCTCCTCATTATAATGCTCTGTTCCATGTATGGTCAGTTAGCTAGAACAGTGGTTTTTGTCCTGGTGATTATTTTATGATTGTATGAAATGGGGCAAACTTTGAGAAAATTATTAAGCCAGTACTGGAATTGGCTGGCATATGCCTTTATGATTTATTTAGTTTTCTACTTTGCCCTACCGTGGAAGAATTTAATTCTTCCCATTTCCTGAGAGTCAAAGGATTGGAGGACACTGAAGCAAAATAAACCTTAATCTCACCCCAAAAGTAGCTTAGATAATGTCAGGAAGGGCTTTGATGAAACCACTGTCCCTGCTTATAGATCTTATTTTCCAAGCCTTTCATTATTTTATTTGCCCTTTTCTGAACTCTACAATTTCCCTCTCTTGTAGCTGGTTCGATGCCCAGAACTGAATGCTGTGCTCCAGCTGTGGCCTCACCGGTGCTGAATAGAGAGGAAGAGCCACCTTCATAGCTTACATGTGATTCCTCTGCTTATACAACCCAATACTGGATTTACTTACTTTGGCAAGATAGCTGCATTGTGCACTGTATTTAATGTTACGTGTACTGTAACCCTGGGTCTTTCTCTGCATTGCTGCCGTTAAACCCCCAATCCTGCCAATCTAAAACTCCTGCCTTTGTTTACCTTCCCCCTCCCCCATAGACTCCCCATACATTCATCCACAATGAATGTCATCTTTTTATTCTCTCATTTCCTTTTACTGTAATCTTAAACTTTGGCAAAACTTTCACTCTGTCCTATAAATTGTCAGTTGTCAGCCATCTTATTTTTCTTCCTGCTTTGGTAATGGGACATCTTTCAGGTCTTTTCTCTGGTTCTTTTGCCTTTGTAGTCATTAAGCACTTGTCATGGTGGATTTAATAAGCATTCGCTTGCCATTTCTTCCAAATCAAATACCCATGAACTCCTCTGGGTTGACCACCAATCAAGTTGTTACCTATGCTTTAGTTCTTCAATCCGGGGTTTCTTGGTTCCTGACCTGTATCCCTACGTCTTCAATCAGGATACAGTATTCTCTCACAACTCTTCCTCCAGGGAGGAGACAAAAGCATCATGTCAGTTTACTGGGGAGCTTTCCAATAGTAAGGAAAATTATAATCCTTAATTGTAAAGGGAATAGTTTTTAATAATTTTAAGCAAATTTCTGCCCCCACCCCAGACCTTAATTTTTAGAAACTATTAAGCTTAATTTATTACAGATTTCTAGGATGAGTAAAGTAAAGGAAAAAGGAAGGGAAGCAAGATTTTTGTGTTGAATAAGACATGGTTCTCCAAAAAAGCCATATCGAGGTTATTGTTGGATTTGAGAGCTGTCTGAAATGGGAACTGGGGCTTTGTTTTTCTGAGCATTATTGTAATCTCAGCTCTAGAGTAGATTTTTAAGTTGGTTTATGCAGGACTGTTAACACACAGTCTTAATTACATGCTTTGGCTAATTTAGAGTGTGGAAAGTGTAACCTATTTTGCTTTATTATGAGTGATAATTGGAAGTTCTCCATGGTTCCTTTTTATTCATCTCTAAACTCCCTCAAGTTTAACTACATCCCATTGTTTGTTACAATAGCAGTCAAGCCGAAGTTTAAGTTCTTATTCTCTTTTTCTTAATTGATGTGTTCTATTTAAACAGCGTCTCCTTGGATCTGTGGTCTTTACTGAACCCAGAAGTTACCTCTTAAGTGCATTTATATCTTGAGAGAGTTAAAATTAGTTGTGAAATCTTTTTTAACATGATTTCAATACATCAAATTCCTATCATGGATTTAGAAGCTACCTAACATCTTTCCTTCAGGCCCTGATAGATATTTTACATGCTAGCATATTGCACTATTCAAGTGTATTACAAAAGTACACTACAAACTAAGAGGTGGCAATATCTGTTAGTGTCTTTGATAAATTATAAAATGTATCACGTTTCTTTCAGATGTATGACCATTAGATATTGCTAGTTTCCTTATTCACAATTACATAAGCCAAGTGAAGTATAAGCTCAATTTGGTGGTTCCAAAGAAAGTAAGAGTCTTTTCCATGGTGTCCTACCGTGTCTCTTGCCAGATATTGGTGCCTTTGCTTATGCTTGTTTTCCTTCCTGATAAGTATGGTACCTTTCTTCAAAGGAATGTTAGTTTTATTCCCTGACTTCTGAAATAACCCTCAGAACAGAGCCAGCTGGGCTCTTGTGTGTGCTGAATGCTTTTCTCTGGGCAGTCAGTAAGTAGTGAGCAGTGGCATGGTTTCCTTCTCCATTTATGGCCTTGGAAGGGTGAAAGGGACATGGTTGGGACTCTCCATTTACGGTCCTTGGAGGAGTTGAAAAGAGTGGTTGGGGTGTTCTTGGAGGCAGAAAGTAGACATTGTGAGATAAAAATAAATTGGCAAGGGATGTTTGCAATTCAAATTCCAATCCCTGCAAGGAGGGCAGAGGGCACTGGGAAAGGGGGAGTGTGTAGAAAGTCAAATGAGCTCTGCTGCAGACATTTGTCTCCTTCCACTGGAAGGTTTGCCCATGACACATTTCCCAAGTTCGTATTTCTGGTTTGTTCTAGAAAGTTTTATCTTATGTAATTGTGACTATCTCTTACAAAGAGAAAGAAGAAACACTTTTAAAAAGAGTGTATTGTTAGAAACCCCAGTTCTCTAAGGTATCATTTGAGGCTCCAGAAGCGATCTCAAGAAAGGAAGAATGAGGCAGGTGCTTGTCCAGGGCCTAGGCTGGCTGGCTTTAGGGTTGGAGACTCTTAATTGTTGCTCTGTTTTTGTGTGAGGAAGATCATCACACATGTCATGCTTTTATTATCCTTTTACCCATCTAGATTTCTGGCTTCGGGGACAGATTTTTACAGTATCTGAAAGAGTGTCTTATAGATTGTCAACTGTGATTTAAAGATAATGAACTTCCTGGCCGGGTGCAGTGGCTCACACCTGTAATCCCAGCACTTTGGGAGGCCAAGGCGGGTGGATCACTTGAGTTCAGGAGACCAGCCTGACCAACATGGAGAAACCCTGTCTCTACTAAAAATACAAAATTAGCCGGGCATGGTGGCACATGCCTGTAATCCCAGCTACTCAGGAGGCTGAGGCAGGAGAATCGTTTGAACCCAGGAGGCGGAGCTTGTGGTGAGCCGAGGTCGCGCTGTTGCACTCCAACTTGGGCAACAAGAGCGAAACTCCGTCTCAAAATAAAAATAAATAAAGATACTGAACTTCCATGGAGGTGTTATAAAGATTATTAAGAGTTGTTTTAGTTCGGTGAGAATAGTTAACATATTGGCTTATGGAGAGCAATCTCACATTTAGGAGAAATTTATAGTCTGGCAGTGCCTATAAATTAAGTCTGAGGTGAACTTTTGCACAGTTGAGTTAGGAAGTATTTGGTAACCACCCGGGAAAAGGGATATTATTTCAAGAACATTCTCAGTAAAAGTAAAGTAGAAGGGAGATTAGAAGGAACAAAGGGAGACAGAGGTGGGATAGAGACTGGATGCAACTAAACTAAATTTGGAAGCTGGGACTAAGCCTTTGATTTATCTTTTGAAATCCCGTGTAAGATAGCATAAGATGTACCATTAAACTCAGGAAACTGGGTTAATAATCAGAAATATGTGTTAGAAATAAAGACCATGGGAAAAGATGGAAGGGTTGTACAAGATAATAAAATTATTTAGGTTTTATCTGTGGACTTGCCTAATGATATTTATTTGCTGTGTGCTACATGGCAGAAAAAGAAGTGAAATGACACCCCTCTGCCCTGTCCTTCCCCCCAACAAGAAATCATTGGCTTCATTTGTTGGCTTGTTTAGCTGGCAGCTTGAGTTGGTAGAATAGACTAGTTGATTGTCTAGTTTTAGACATAGGTATTAGTGTACTGTTTCTTGATCCTTGATGTTTGAGACCTGGAATTTGTAGCATTATTGATTTGACCTCTGTTTTGAATTTTAGCAGCTTCCACAAAGACTGAGTTAGTAAGGAATACAGAATATGTAAGTAATACGTTTTACTAGCTAATTTGTTTAGGCAATTATTTTTACCCTGTATTCATTACCTCTTAATCAAGAGTAAGGCAGGTATTCTTTGCTTTGGGAAATTCTTCTTTCTGTCCTCCCTTCCCTCACTTTTTCCAAATTCTGGGCACAACAGCAACTCTCTCTCTTCTGTGGCAGGTGTGCATCCTATTGGCTGGCTGGTATTTCTTGTTTCCCCCCCCTTATTCTTTTTAAATGGGGGTGGGGGTTTAAAAATTTGTGTATGGGGTACATGCAATAATGTTGTAATGTTTCTTGTTGTTTAATGGATAATTAATTGCAAAATAATTGTTTTAATTATAACATGTTTGAGTAAATGCTAAATTAGTATTTTTTTCTAATATAATAATGAATTTGAAATCTAGCATTCCTGTAACAATGTGTCTATGTTTGTCTGTCTGTGTCTGTCTAATAGTAATTAATATCTGTGGTCCGTACCTGGAAGAGGAAGTACAGCTTTAAAGGAATAACAAAAGACTTTGTGTCTTAGACCCTTCGCAGGTGTTACAGTCGGGTGAAAGAACATGGTGTTGGGAAAAGAAAGAGCAGTTACACATTTGAACAGTTGGAACAGGTGTTTGGTCAGGGAGGATGGGATGCTCAGCCCTGCCAGCCTGTACTTATTAACAGTAGTGGCTTGTACCAGGAGCTGGAGTCAGATGGCAGCACTATGGAGGACTATTCACAGGAGGACTGGGGAAACCACAGTCAGGATCTCCATGGCTATCCAACAGATCAGGAATTGGGTAAGAAAGCCAACATACTTGATACTTATGTTTGTGTGTATTTATGTACCTTTATATATGTGTACCAGTACTTATTATCTGTAAATATTTTTGGTGGTGTTTCTATAGTGGTCAGCACAAGGCATAAAGGACATCTCTGCCTTGTATGTCTTTTATGCATTTCCATGCCCCAGTCTATTTGGGGCGATATGGGCATCCTTGATTTAGCCTTAAACTGCCAACTAGTGCTTGAGGTTGTTCATTTGACAAGTTGATTATCAACAAGATTCCCAAAAACACAGAAGAATTTCTAATTCTGACCTATACAGGGACACTCAGTGACAGGTAGCATCCTATGCAAAATATTCTGTACCCTCTAGTTCTAAGATGACTGCTACGATAATGACTCTTGGCCCAACTGCTGTAGATGTAGCTATGTTAGGAATTCCTTCCTTCATCCCAAATACATTTTTCTTTCTGTTTATGATTTGGAAAAGATCTTCTCCCAGACTTGAGTCTGAACAAAAAATGAGGGGAAGCTTCCATTTACCTTGAAAAGGGCTGATATTTGAACTGTGTGATCATATTCCTTCACACTTCTTAAGGGACCCCATCCCAACAGTAACTGGAGTGATTTATACAGTCATAGGTATTAACTGGAGGATTTATATAGTCATAGGTATTAAAAATGGAAATAAAATTCCTGACCATCAAATCTAAACTTGTGGGGTCTAATTAAGAGTGTACATGTCATTGTGGGTTTGTTCTGTTTCTTTTTGCATTACATGCTCCAATTTTGATTTTCATGTTGATTTCATAATTTGGAGATACTGATCAGTCAGCCATTGCACATTAACAGCAGGTTGTGTAATGAGTGCTTGCTTGGAAGGAAATGTTCTTGCTTCCAGCTCTTGGTACTCAGGTAGCCCCCAAGGAAGTATAAGTAGGATTGGCGTTATAAACATGCTCCCAGACCTTTAGATAAAAGTTCATGGGCTCTGTTTTTTACCAAATTTGTGATGATAGAAAAATGTTAATTCAAAAGAAAAAGGACTAAATGCTAATATGTTTCTTAGCAATGTTGTTTTAAAAATATTTCTCAAATACTGGAAGAGAGTGAGTGAAAGAAGAAAGAGGTTATAAAACTAAGACTAATGACATATAAAAGACGGACTTAAAGATTAGAAGAATAAAAGGGGTAGATGGTAAGCAATCACTACCGATTAATTTCAAAGGAGAAATAAGGTCTAAATTACTTTGGCATTCCGTAACACTGGTTTTGCTGTAGAGAGTTAAGTCACTCAAACCTTTAGGAAAAAAGCAGTGTGCAGAATATGTTGATCCTGATATTGGGGGAATAATTGCTTTGTAAAACCTACATAGAAAATCTAAATAGAACAGAATTATTTTTATTCTTGTCCTTTTAAAATCATGTCTGCAGTGAAATTAAGCTTTAAGCTCCTAGCTAGAAATCCACTGGTGACCTTGAAGAATTTCGTACTTGTAGAGCTGGTTTCTGACCTTGCATATAAATGTATGCATCTCATTATATAAGAGTTACATTTATACATCTGACATAGGACAGTGTTTGACACTAGAGTAAAAGCCTGGTCTTGGAAAATATGGAATAATCAGTAAACATAGCTACCTATCTACATACGTGCATGCCATTGCTTAGGAAAATATAACTTGCTTCAAAATCTTTGCTTTTCAGATGAAATACCTATCACAAAGAGAACATTAAAAATAAAACAAGAGTCTTCTGAAGAAGCACAGTAAGTAGATGCTTCACCTTTCCAGAAAGTGTGTCTGCCTAAGTTTAATGACCATTGGGAGGATCAGAAAATATTTAGACATGTTTTGGAAGTTCCAGCCATTCACCAAGGAGGCATGTCTATTCATTCTTTAGATTTAATCAAGGACTTAAAAGTAAAAAGCATTACAAGCATAGCATCACTGGTAATTCCGAGAACTGTGACGTCTATACATTCTTTTACATCTTAGCTTAACTCTTCCAGTGGTTATGTAAAATGTTGAGAATTTTGTATAGAAGAAGAAGAAATAAATGTGTTACATGAAAATAGGCATGTTTATGGTGTTTGCCTGTGTGTGGATGTGGACATCTGGATGTTTAATTAAGGCGCAAAGATGAGTCACAGGAACCTGAGTTTATCTGGGGTTAGGTGAAATGATCAGGCAGACCAGAGGGACACCTGAAGTATTACATTTTGGGAATCAAAAAGAAAGCTCTTAGATGGCCTATTAAACATTTAGAAAAGAAAGCAATTGCTAGAGGAAAGACTAAGAAGGTCCAGGGACAGTGGTCCACGAAGCTTGATCTTCCCCAAGTTTAGCATTATCTATTGTGCAAGGACATCCTAGTTCCTGAAATTACCAGTGACATTGTATTTGTGGTTCTTTTTAATAGCTTTAAGTGAGTCCCTGACTAAATGTAATTACTGAGGAGAATATATTGGCAGATAAATTTGTGGAGAAAGTAAGAAACACCATTCATTTTTTTCACCTGTTACCCTTGGAGCATGGATAGCACCCACTTATTCTTGGGTGCTTCATCCCACATATATGATCTTGATGTCTGAGAGATGGCAGAGAAGAGGTGAAAAGGGCTGTGATAGGTAACAGGCAACACAACAAGAAAGCATTCGTTGTTTTTTTTTGTTTGTTTTTTTGAGATGGAGTCTTACTCTATCACGCGGGCCGGAGCATAGTGGTGCAATCTTGGCTTGCTGCAAGCACCTGTAATTCCAGCCTAAGTAGGTGGGACAACAGGCATATCACCGTGCCTGGCTAATTTTCATATTTTTAGTAGAGACGGGGTTTTCCCATGTTGGCCAGGTTGATCTCAAACTCCTGACCTCAAGTAATCTGCCTGCTTCGGCCTCCCAAAGTGTTGGGGTTACAGGTGTGAGCCACCACACCTGGCCACATTAGTTGTTTTTATTCAGCAAGCCACCAGCACCACTTCCCATTTGCAAATGCTTGTTTCTTTTTCAGAGTCTCTCTTTGGAATCAAAGAATTCCCATTGTCATCTGATTCCATGTCTGGGGAGACGGTAAGAGTTCAGGGATGAGGAGTTGTTCCCCCAAATTGTGCCCATTATTCCATTCCTCAAAAAAGAAGCTAATGACCCACATCAGTAAGTTTAAGGCCATTTCTCATTGGGAAGTAGTTATCTTTTAGGAGTGTGACATCAAAGTGTACAAAGGAAGCAAAACTGATTATTGTTGTAAAAAATGAGTTATTATAGCCAGGCACGATGGCTCACTCCTTTAATCCCAGCACTTTGGGAGGCTGAAGCGGGTAGATCATGAGGTCAGGAGTAAATAAGACCAGCCTGGCCAACATGACGAAACCCAGTCTCTACTAAAAAAATAAAAAATTAGCCGGGCATGGTGGCGAGCACCTGTAATCTACTTGGGAGGCTGAGTCAGGAGAATTGCTTGAACCCAGGAGGTGGAGGTTGCAGTGAGCTGAGATCATGCCATTGTTCTCCAGCCTGGGCAACAAGAACAAGACTCTGTCTCAAAAAACAAAACAAAACAAAACACAAAAATTAGCTGGATGTGATGACACACACCCTGTAATCCTAGCTACTCGGGAGGCCAAGGCACAAGAATCGCTTGAATCCAGGAAGCAGAGGTTTCAGTGAGCTGAGATCGTGCCAGTGCACTCCAGCCTGGGTAACAGAGTAAGACTCTGTCTCAAAAAAAAAAGAAAAAAAAAGTGAGTTATTACAAGACCAAGCACCACCAGTGGCTCATGCCTGTCATCCCAGCACCCTGAGAGGCCAAGACAGGAGGATTGCTTGAGCCCAGGAATTCAAAACCAGCTTGGGCTAGACATAGCTAGAGCACCATCTTACAAAGCTGGGTATAGTAGATGCACTATACTACAGGCACAAGGTAGTCCTAGCTACCTCAGAAGGCTGAGGTGGGAGGATTACTTGAGTCCAGTAGGTCAAGGCTGCAGTGAACCATGTATTCCAGCCTGGA